TACCATCACTTGCTGGGTGGTTTCGAAGATTCCACGAAGCTACGGTGAGTGCCTCTCCTTTCGATCACTTGTGTGCCCTGGGGGGTTCGAACTTCGGTGAGTTGGTGGAGACGTTTGATCGGGTAATCACAAATTGGTATGATCCTTTCAGGCTCTGAAGAAGGCGATATCGCCGAAACGTCAGCCTAATAAAGCTTGTTTACAAACCTCGTGAAGAGTTCAGTATAACAATAAACTCAATAATACGGTGTTTTTATGTTCCAGACGAGTGGTACCGACAAGCCGACTCCAGAAGGATGGGCGACCTGGTTGCCTAGGCGGATACTGATTCTCAATTCCCCATCAGTGGATGAAACTCGACGATGAACGTCATTCCAATGCTTCCATGGTGCACAGTTTTGTTGTTTGTCTAAATTATCAAACCGTTTCTGGCAACCTTTAAGTAGTTATGTGATTTAATAACTACTTTTTAATGCCATTACTATATGTGATGAAGATCATCGTTCATGGGGAGCAACCTTCGAAAATATAGTCCTCTTTTTTTCTACTGTGAGAATGGGACCATCAGATTCATCACGTTAATAGAACTGCCTGGTATTAAGGCTCCTGATTGTAGGTGGAATACCAAATAGTACCCAGAGAGCAAGTACTTCCACTGATGAATGCAAATTTTCGGTTAGCAACCCTTTCAAGAAAAAAAAGCTCTGTCCGCTTCCCTTTCAAATTATATTGGGTTGTCCAAAAAATCCTGCGACACTTGGAATTTGAGGATCGCTAGCTATTCGAAAGCAAATGGCGCCCAATTTTGATTTACGGTAACATAGACCACACCTAGCAGGTATTGCGAAATATTATAAAAAGGCTTCTTCTTTCAAGGAAAAACAGTTATGAATCCTACAAATCCGAGTATCCTTCGACCCATCGTGTATTATGACTTCCTACAAGGACATTCTGCAAGAGAAGCAGCTTATAACATCTGCGCTGCATTCAAGAAAGATGTGATACACCATCCCTCTGTCAGTCGCTGGTATCACCGCTTCGAGTCTGGAGATATTTCCATCGAAGGACAGGAACGTCCTGGACGGAATTGTGATGGNAAAAAGGCTTCTTCTTTCAAGGAAAAACAGTTATGAATCCTACAAATCCGAGTATCCTTCGACCCATCGTGTATTATGACTTCCTACAAGGACATTCTGCAAGAGAAGTAGCTTATAACATCTGCGCTGCATTCAAGAAAGATGTGATACACCATCCCTCTGTCAGTCGCTGGTATCACCGCTTCGAGTCTGGAGATATTTCCATCGAAGGACAGGAACGTCCTGGACGGAATTGTGATGGGATGCTCTACTTCGAATTCCTGGAAAGTGGCACTACCGTGACGGCGACGACGTACTCTAACCACCTACAGAAAGTAGCCGATGCAATCCTTCATAAGCATCCAAAACGACTGGAAACCTATCTTCATAGGTTATCTGCACGACAACGCTCGCCCCCACGTGGCAACGATGGCTACTTCAGAAAATTCAGGAGCTAGGTTGGGAAGTACTACCCCATCCACCGTACTTTCCTGATCTAGCCCCTTCCGACTGCCACTTGTTCCGAGCCTTGAAGCGGCACCTACGAGATAAGAATCTCGATAATCAGGAGCAACTCAAAATGGAGGTGAGCAAATTCTTCAGCACGCAACCCACTGATTTCTGGAGAAGTGGGATCGACAAACTGCCAGTGAAATGGATGAAGATCATCGATAATAACGGCGACTATATCACTGATTGAACTCCTCTTTCATTGCATAAAAAACGATGTAAAAATTTGTGTTGTTAGTGTCGCATTATTTTCTGGACAACCCAATATTAGTGCACGGTTTTCTAGAGAATAGAACAGTACTTCCGGGTGCAAAATGTCAAACTCGGCACTTTGGGTTCTGGCACAACGACCTTCTCAAGAAATTTCAAGAGCATTGAGCATACGTTAGTGCATTGGTCAGATGTCAAGAAAGGCGCCCTTCTTATGGCAGGGAGGATTATTTTGGTAGACCAATGCTGCGAGATTACTATCAAAGATTGGCCGCGCACTCGTCGTGATTATCGTCAGTTCAAGTATGTCTGGCTTCCCGGGTGACGGAACTTCTCCCCGAATTCCCACGGCCTGCCGCAGTGGTTCCGCGGCGACTCTCCATATCCTTCCACTGGAATTTCAAATCTTTACCTTCATAGCGCGAGATCGCGTGCGGCGAAAGCGAAACGCCGTTCGGAGAAAAAATACCAGACACCTTTTTCCTCAAACAGGCAACGTCAACTACTTGAAGGTGATCAAGACCATTGCAACCTAGAAGGACCCCTTTCCCATGAAGTTTGATATCCTAACATATTTGCTGTTACTACTACGCATGCAACAAAAGCTATGGTAGCTCTATTCCCTGGTTGCCCTTGCAACAGGGTGGGATATGTTCATGTTATGCTATCTCTTAACAGGGATTACGCCGATCCTTTATCATGCAACGTTCGAACCGTACCGATCCCCTCAAAAAGATCAAAGCATTTCTTCAACTAGTAAGTAGTTTTAACTTGAAAGCAGGGAACCACAGAACTCCATGTTCCCTCTCTCAACAACAATCATGGTGGAATCCCATACCGAATAAGCATAAACACCCTTCTATAACCTACGGTTTAGGGATAGTTGCAGCTCTGTAACTTAGCTCTATATTACATTTTACACTAGTGGTAAAACTGTAAAATCTCAAAAAAAAAATCATTTGACAATCAATTAATTAACCCATACATCTCACATTTTAACAGGTACTTTATCCTCCCTATTTTTCTATGTTTAAAAGAAAAAAAAACACACACACACGAGATTTTGAATTTTTATAAAGGACTCCGTAAATATAATATAATTTCCATAATAAAACGTTGGTCAATCTTTGTAGCATGTAACTAGCTCTACATCACTGTCTTAATTCTGCCCTGCATAAAATCACCACAAATTCTCATACAAACGTATTTTTCACAGTCGTAAAGTGAGTACATTTACAAAAGGGTTTTAACAAATTCAATGGCAGCAGTGAACTGCGTCCACCAATACCCTTCCGCTCCATCCAGTAACGATCCACCAAAGCCCTGCACGTACTGCACATTCGAAAGCAGCGACGGTGGATTCGCCTTAAAACAGTTTAAATACTTAGTTAGCATTTAATATTAAGTTTAGATATAGCAGTATAATAGTTATATAGATATTAAATTTAATGATTATTCTATTGCAAAATATATATTCATTTAATTGTATACATTTTAATGAATTATAAAAACAAGAATAACCTAAAAATAACCAAATTGAAAGAATCAAAATTTTATGAATGCAAGTCATATATTTCTTACTCAAATTAATACAATCTCACAAAAGAAAATAAAGTCTAAAAAATTTTGAAAAATACATTATCACTATACTTAAAAATACCTATATATTTAACTAGTAAACTACACAGCTTCAAGTTACACGTCGAATTTACAATGAATCCCGTACCTGTATCAAGACGTAGACCAGTACCGGAGTGACGTCATCCGCTGCCGCTGCTCCCATACCAGGTGCCATTGAAATAAGGTTGCTTATTGTTTCACAACATCTAAAAATACAGGTTTTGTAAATAAAAACGATAAAGGCTATTCAAAAACAATCGAATGACTCTTAAACTCACCGAACGACGCACGCTAATTTATCCCTCGCAGATTTGTATGCGTTAATTATGCTTATTTCTGCTTGAGCTGACGGCCAAGGCGCTTCACCATGAAGAACCTATGGAAGTCTTTAGATTACGATATCGCAATGGAATATTATTTTAAGCGTATTCTTTTTATTTGAGGCATATTCTTATCCATGTTTGCGGAACTTACACTAGGAATTCTTAACATAGGATGTCCCGGATGGATCGATCTGGCCAGCCGTGCAAGCGATTTTGAGAACAACCTGAAGATAACTAGCTCAGGCACTGACCTATAGAAGCTAAAACAGTTTACTAGCTAAGATTGATTTCAAGGTCGAAATGAGCATTTGCGACGAGAAATGCGACGAGAAACCAGGCATATTTTACGGTGTTGATCTTGAATCTGTCTTCCCTATTTGCCCGACGATTCTACCAACAAGAACACATGGAAAAGTCTTTGATTGAATGTGACATGTTAACGGGCAATCATCTTTGAGCAGGAAGGACGTTATGTACGTTGTTTATATCGGCAGCTTGGGCTACTGGTGAGGGTAGCTGTACATGGTGCGGTATGAAAATTCGCTTTTCATAGAGACAAAGTTGATTTCTACGAGGAGATCCCGATCGGAATCGACGCAAGCATATTTGCAACTTACATAAATCATTAGATCGCATTTCTCATTGGCTAATAAAAGCTTGTAAGTTGGTTCAGTGAGAAAACGTAAAAATAAAAGAAGCACTGAATTTGAAAAACAAAAAAAAACAGAGTAATAATCAAGGAAATAATCCAAAAACCGCTTTCGAACAAGCTCGCACATGTAGCAGAGAAGTGTGACATCTTGGAGATGAGATAACTTATTAAAAACATAAAAGAAATAAAACTGAAACAGAATAATGATCAATCTTTAAAACAAAGAGGAATGCTAATCCAATCATTACTGACCGCCCTCGCCACCACATGCGAGTTAACGGATAAGGGAGGGACCCAAAAATGACAGCATCCATTAAGAACGGAGGAACTCAAAAAAGACAGCACCCGTTAAGAACCAGTCTTTCTACCAGTACTCGAACTTTACTTTGACTTCACTTTTCAGCAAAACTCGGAAAAGTAGGAGGGAACCACAAAAAGTAGTGACAAATAAACAAATAAAATAAATGTAAATTAAATTACAGCGCATGTACAATAAAATAAATAAATAATAATAATGAATGGTAGACTAACTCGTCACGATGTCGATCAGCATCCAAATTAGGATAAAATGCAAGAGCATGAATTTGAGCCATAAACACTCGTTCAATAGTTTTTCGAGCATAGGCGACCAGATGAGCAGGAGCCGACTGCCACATGGATGATACGGGTAGACGTGCATACATACCCGTTAACGTCCGTAATAGACAATCCGTTTTCTCGTCCTAAACAGATCATCGGTGATCCTCCGTAATAACCCACTGGCTGCTTTCATGTTTAGTCCACGATTTGGCCCGCGACCAATCGCGCGACTGGTCGAGCTAACGTCGCGCGATCGGTCGCCGGCCAAATCGTGGACTATGAACGCAGCCACTGATCTTGCAATAATTTATAACAGTTGGATTGGAGAGTTAACAAGGTTAAAACAAATTCACAATTTCGAGGTCAGATGAGAACTACCTTTCCAACAAATTTGATAAGCTTTGAAAATGATACAAAAAAGATTCAGACAGATCTAAAACTTCACAAACCTGAGCGTTAAGAATAACAAATTCTTGTAGAAATCTTTTCATTTGTTGATCCTTGTTTTCCAAATAAAAACGAACCAAAACTTCCACGAGGCACTCTTCAGTCACAGCTTTCTCCCTGAAATAACAGGCCTTTTCCACCGATAGTTAATTGGGTGCAGGCCATCAAATAAATGATTCACTGCCGAGCTTTGTTTAAATGATTCAAAAGTTATAAATATAAGCATTCGATGAAACTTCACACTATAAAATTAAATTTGTTCTAAAAATTCAAAGAAGAACGCTATACTAACCTTTGAATTCTTGAGATAAGCTTCTCAACGTAATTTGTAAGGCGTAATAGCGTTATCCTTGATTGTTGCAGATAGAGTAGATAGGATGATCGTTTCCGGTTTTCTTCTCTGAGTGTACGCAACAGCTTCCGAATCCTGAACTTTAAACCAACTGTTGATATATTGACGACAATGGCACCCATTGGTGGGTGCCACTACGACTGGCAAATGGGACACTGGCACCCAATTTGGGGCGCCACCATACTTTCTTGTTTCTTACCAAGTGCTGAATCCAGTAAGCCAGTGAAAGCTCCAAACCTGGGACAGTGCCACCCACCGGTGGGTGCCTGTCGCGCGCGGAAGGAAAGGGAGGTGGTTCCATGGGCGCGTCACGTCGAAAACTATTGTCTCAAAGGGTAACACATCCCTAAGTTTCCGATTACAAGAGGATAAAACACTTCCGGTTCCTCCAAAAAAAACTTCCCTTCCCTAAGCACTCTTCTCTACTTGTTAAATTCATTAATCTACTACCATAATTCAACTCATCATCAACAGTAGGAACTTATAATCAGTGGTGCAAGTTTTTCTAGGCAAATTTCTGCCCAAATTATTTGAAGAACCACAAAATCACATGATCAATGAGCTGTGAATGTAGAAAAAGGGCATTATTCCCAAGCCAATGCCTTCAAACAATTTGAAAGCCAAATCTAATAAACGTGAGTGGATCCATCAAAATTTCAAAACTTACAATAGTAAATAGAAAGGCCAAACAGATGCTATATTTGAGGGGCAATTTACAGAAATATAACTCCACAAAACAAACCCTTTATTGTCAAAAATTTGTAGACATCGCATCACTTCTCTGGTATGTGCCACAAGGCTTTGCTCCCTATTGTTCACAGCTTCGGCAAGTAGTGTGCGCAGTAACATTACCAGCTGTTCACGCTCATTCTCTAGTTTCATTCCACTGAAACAAAAGTGTTACATAACAAACTCCCAGCCGAATACTGAACCATCAGAATCTGTGCTTCATCTGAATTTCGTTTTTTTTTTTCAAAGAAAATCCGTCCAGCAGTAATGCAGCATAGGAATATCAGAAGGCAGTTTTTACGCCCTTACCGACAAGCACCGTCGAATGGCATTGATGGTAGATTGCCAACACTACTGAGAACAAGTCGTAGTTTCCTCTTTGCATCCAGAAATGCCCTGCATATAATCTGACATAATGATATTGCAAAAGATTTTCGTAAATTCCACAAAACAACACTAACCTGCACTCCGTAAGATTATCCGGTGAATAGTAGGTTATCACTTGCTCGGATGGTGCACTTTCAGAAGCTGAGGATGCCATTTCGACAGGTGGCTGTGGCTCATCAGCAAAATGCGCGGTGGTGGGCTGGTATTTCGCCAAGATATCATCAGCGGAACGTTGATCAAAGTCTACAAAAAAACTAGAAAAAATAGATAACGTCCGCATAAAAAACTTTTCATCAAACCAGGGTAACCGCATTCTGGCTCTGATTTCGCGTTACTTTTTTAAAAAATTTCATTGTAACGCAAAGACTAATATTGTTGGTACTCCAGCGGCGCTAAACTAATGTCACGTCACCCAAGTTAAGCACCTTTTCCCCCAGATAAAGGACGGGTGGGAGTAAAAGAGGGATATGAACAGAGAAGGAATAAGAGAATGGATGTAGTTTATTTCTTGTCTCCAAAAGCCAGAAAAAAGTCAACGCTAAAGTAGGATTTAGCCGTAAAAACGGGAGACTAACCGGCAATGTGATTCTCGCTCTGACTATTCGGAATTGCTGAACGACTATGCTCATTTTCACGCCTAGATGAATTCCATTCACTTAGCAAATCAGAAATTGTCGACGAATGCGGTATTTGCCGAAATGATGAACCAGTCATACCTAAAGTGAACGAGCTGAAATTGCGTCAAAACACATTCGACACGCAATAAGAATGACGAACACTTACCTTTTCTTACTTTATCACCAACTTTCAAGAGGCCTTGTTGGAAAAGAGCAAATTTTTTCCGACCAGAATTAGAAGGTGACGATGGAGTATAGTAATTCTCAACATCATGAGCGCTTCCAACTGCTGAAGAGTGTGAAGGCGAACTGAACGAAGAGGCACAGGCTCCAGAAGGCCCAGGTTGATCACCAGATTGTTGTTTTTGAGGCTGAATGCCATACTTTGACATTCATAGAGACTACAGGTTCAGTAAGAACATTGACACTTTATCAGATTTTGTTGCAATTGCGGCCTTACTTTGTGTCAGCTAATCTTTAAAAAAAATATATATATATATATATATATATATATATATATATATATATGTATAACGATTTATACATAAACTGCAACATGGATGGCAACCAGAGCCAACTTCCCGCTCGAACTTAAGTTTTTACCTATCAGAAAGCCGTCCTATGTTGGAATGTGATGCAAATGGATCGGTCCAGGTCGTGCCCTCCTATCAAAGAGGCATATTACAAAGGTGAGGGGCTTGTATGAGGACTCATCCCCCGCCTTCAAATTTAAATTGTTCCCATTAACTAATTCTAATTCGATTATTGCTTATATTAAAGCTACTCATTCGAGTAATACTATTAATAATGCTCTTGTTACTTAACCATCATTGGAAGGCTATCATAACAAGGGTCATAAATTGACCGTGGCGAAATAAAATTGAACAGTTGCCTTCACAGCTGCTTGACACCTCGGTTAACTGTGAGTGAGAAACAAAAGCACTATTCCACCAACTACCTGAGCACGTGCAGGAGTGAGTGTATCGGCTGGTACTGTACGATCCCGATCTTCTCTGAAGCTGAAAGAAAAAACGATTCATAAAAACAAGAACTATTTACTAGATATACTAGCACAATTTTAGGGTCATATGTTGTGAAACTATTATATATTTGCAACGTCAAAACTAACTTGCTCATCTCCGAGTCCGCTTCACTACGACTGTATGAGAATGAGCTGCCACTGCTATGTCGACGCAGTCTTCCTGCATTGTCACTATGATGAGATACATCGACAAGTGGTTGCACACTGACGCATGGTACAGCGATATGCTTGAAATAATTATGATTACTATAAGCCGTAAAATTGAAAAGATAGAAATAAAGTCAAATTCTTGGGAACACACCGATGCTGCTGCGTCAGAATTACCGCTGCGTTCCGATCGAGACATTTCGTAAGTTACATCCGCAACCTTGAAAAATTAAATCTCGAAGTGCCACTTACAACGCCGCCACTAAGGGAAGCCCGCATAAAAAATGACGACATATTTCATGTCAAAGAGGTAGGTAAGCTTCTCTGAGGCGATCACAAGTAAACAGCAACTTCGTACTGGAGAGGGATTGAATTCTTATGAAAAGAATAGAAAAATTACGAACCTGTCGTGCACGCTCTCGTCCTCCATCTGCTTCTGAGTCGCTAGCTATTGCATCTAAGGACCAAGTGTCACTCCTATCCTCCGTAGCAGCATTTCCTCCACAAAGTGATCCAGTTCTTAAACAACGAACACTATTTCAATTAATAAAGGAAGGACTACTTTTCATTGAGCTCATGTAAATGTTACGGATACCTGTTGACAGCGCGTCCACGATGGTTATTGCCGTCAGCAGCATCAACTGATGGCAAGTGTGGCAGAAGAGGCAGTGACGAACCTTCGTCATCGGAAGGTACCACATTGGTAGACCAGCTATCGGACAACAATGATCTTTGGTCATCGCCTGAACCATTGAAATGTCAGCCGAGGCGATAATTTGTTGGAAGAGAGATAATTCCAATGTTGAAATACTAACGTCTATTTTGTTGCGACATCGGCACAGTGAATTTCCCAAACTTTTCCTCAAGACCTTCAGCATTTTGTTTACGCACGGCAACTGGTACTCCTGATGGCAAAATTCGCTGAGCAGCATCGGTTTCGCCACCCGCAGCAGTGGACACCGCGCCAAGATCGGCCATTTCTAGAAATGGCAACTAGTTATCACTGTATCTCCAAAGCATTACATACCATAGGCAACGATCCTCACCATTTTCCTGGCCATCTCGGAGCCCATGACTGGGTGCTTGACTTAATGGTGATTCTCGTCCGTCGAGACTGGCTGAACCGCGGCCACTGAGTCCAGTTTCATCAACATCGGATACATTATCAGGAATAGTTGAAGCCCCATCCTCATCAAGCAGAAGCATTCTATAAAAATCGATCTTGATTTCAGTAAAGCATCTGTGCATCTTCTACAAGACATTCGCCTTTCACCCAATACAAATTCTTGAACTCGGTACGGTAACAAGAAAACAGATCACTCTGCTCAATACTTCATGTTAAAACACCACCTGTCCTCTTGAGGTGCCTCCAAACTGCTTGATATTGAGCCAACTTCTTGTTGCTCAGCACCATCTTCTTCTAGATCAGAGGCATTATCAGGAGTACGATCGGACACTGCAGATCCAACTAAAGAGAAACATTACAGCTCACATACCAACACAATCACCCGGAACTTTGACATGAAGGGACCCCACACACCATTGCTTCCTGTGTCAACAAAACGAGTTCTCTTCTGTGCGCCTCCTCTGGTATGTTTCTTTGACGCACCTCCAGCTACAAGACTTTCCATGTACTTGTCTTCAGGGATTAGGCCGACCGGATCACTAAATTACTATTTCAGGATCCTTTGGAAGATATGATATACCAGTATAATATGAGCAAGAATGTTGTGAATCATCTTTTTTTACTGATACTATCAGAAGGATAAGAGATAAAGAAAACGCTTAGACTGTTTTGTGGTTATAATTATATTGGATTATAAATAGACCACCTATATTACCGCCTTTCATAGAAATCCGTTTGCAGCGGACAATGAAACCTACGTTGAGGATTCCATATGAAATACAACCACATCAAAGAACTCTTGCGGTAGGCGAAGCATATTTGATGAAGTGTGTGGACGAGAAGAGTTGTGCGGAGGTGAAGTTGACAAGGAGTTATGAACTGAACGATAGAAACTTCAGAAACCCAGAAAATTCACTTTTCATCGACTCAATTATAAAATTACAGTTATAGAAAGATTCATTGAGTTTCTTCCCAAGATTGGTCGTGCTCCAGGTAAACTTTCATACGGGGAGTATACATAGGAGACTAAGAGATAAGTTCGTAGAAGAGAACAAAGGAGAATTCGAAAGGCTCGAAGGTGTCGTTCATTTAAGGATGTTCTTGTATGAAAGCGAAGCCTTGTATAAAGTTGTTTTTGTTCTTCTAAAATGATGACGGTTCGCTTTGAAAATTTGATGCTTCAAGAATGATTACACGTTGAAGTGGACAGGCTTTTACTAGTACCCCACATAGTTTACAGAAGATAAAATGTCCTAGTCTTAGCAAGTCTGATACCATTAAATTTTTCATTTAACTCACCTTTATCAGCAAAGTTCCTCATCTTGCTTGATCTAGATTGTGTGAGTGGAGCTAAATCAGGAGCAGCCTCTGCCACAGACGCAGCGGAACTTGCCGTAAAAAATCTGGGAAGACGGTTGCGCAATGCGTCCAACTCAGTTCTCACTTCGTTTGTTGACACGTTTGACAGGGCATTCGAATGAAGTAATGAGATCTGTAAGCTCTTCTTTTCAACGACAGCTTATTTTCTATAATAATAACCCAAAAAGAAAAGATCGCTTACCACTGCATTCACTTCACCGACTGAACCCATAAAATAGGTTCGACGAAACAGCTCTCTTGACCTGTGCGACTCACATAGAACAGGAGGGAATAACGAATCAAACGAATCCAAGGATCGAGACAGAAGCGAACCAACAATATCACAAATGGGACTCTGAAACATTACATCAAGTAAAGGATGATTTCAAGACGAAAATGAAAAATAATCGTAGGAACTAGTGACACGTACATCTTTGAATTGTGCAGCGAAGATATGAAAGTGTGGTTGGGGTGTTTCATAGCGGCTCAATGCAAGAGTCTGGAAGTAAATAAGAAGAATCTGGTCGATTAGCTCATGTGAGACTACAAATTGAAGTAAAAATTAGTTCCTGAAGAGAGCATCATCATAGCCCCTTAGCGGCTACGACTTTCTACTACCACTACTATTACTACAACACAGTGAACACAAACTTAGGTTGGAAAAAGTTATGATTACGATATAGTCTCCTCTTGAATACTCGACCCGATCCGAAATGAACCTACATATCACATCAAACATACGGTAACTTTGTTCGCAACAACAGACCACTCACCTGAATAATTTGTCCTATTTGCATGAGGTTAAACCGAGCAATATGACTAATGGGTGTGTCACTAACTATGCCCACATGCTCTGGATTTATTATGGCTGGACACAGTAAATTGGTTACGATGAGGTCAGTGCAGATGAGTGTTGCCTGAAATCTGTTTCATAACGTTGTTATTGAGTCCTGCGAAGGAAAAAATAGAAAAATCATCGCGGAAATCAAAGTTTTTGAGATAATTAAAAAAGACTAGAATGCTTGGGTTCACCAGATTCATTTATTTGCATGTGACTGTTTCTCGGAAGAAGTGTTGCAAAGAGATGAAACGAGAGATATGCAGCTATACCGCTGCTAACAAGGAAAACAGCGACCAGATGTGAGCAACTTTTCATGACATTCGAAACGGATTTCACCCAAAAGAAATTCTACTGTTCCTCACCTCACATACGGGGAGTCGCTTAATTTCAGTTAAGGCTGAGTTGAGTTGTTGCACTAGCCAAATTAAGCCCGCAGGAAAACAAGCAATCGCATCACAAATTCCTGGAAACCACTAGACTGATCAGGATTGTGTAGAACGAAAAAAAAGAAAAAAAATCATCGAGATATCCAAACGAAAGTAAGAAAGGGATTCACACCTTTGATGAAGCTGTGAGCAAGTAATACGAGTTTTTCAACAATAAGTTTTCTGTGAGCAGCCACTCTCTTATGGTACTGTGCACTAGTCGGGTCATCACCAAAACGTCTCACGCGATCAGCACTAGGAAATCTCAAGGGGGACTGAAATAAATACAACGAATAACAAAATTGCAGATTTGAAAAAAAACATCATGATAACTTTGGAGAGGGGTTCACCTTAGCAGGGTCGATATCAAGAAACACTTCATCTTGACATAGGACAAGCATAACAGAATCATGTAGTGCAGCAGTCAGAAAAATCTGTAGCGAAGGCAGAATTTCTCAGCCGTCACGAATACAACGATGAAATGTAATGAAAAAAATTGATAGAAAAAATGCAAAAAATGCAACCTTGGCACTGTACAGGGAATCGCTGTACAACTTGTACAGACGAGGGAATGCCGCCGTTCCTTTACGGATAATGAGGCGTGGGTTATTGTGCGTCAGTAGTTGAACACGAATCAAGCAGTTTAGCGTCTATGAAAAACGAAATACTTCACTTATCAAAACGCAAAAGAGAAAATTCCACCTCCAAAACTGCTTTCTCATCACTCGAGAAGACACAGTTACCATAAACAAGACTGAAAATGGCGTGAATTGTATCATCGGAAGAAAGCTCCTGCAATTCAGATTCACGCAATACATTGGAAAGGAAACTTCACGCACTGAGATCAAAAAAAGCACACCTGATTTTGACCAACAGCATGTAAGAGTTCCGCAGTTCCCAAAGGTGACGAGTATAAAATGGAAAGACATCTTCCCACTGACGAATGCAGATGGCCCAACTTCCTGAAAAGATGCTCATTGGTAATTTCAATAGTCTTTTTTTTATCTAAATGGCAAAGAGGACATAATGTTGAAACACAAAATGTTTTGACTACTATAGTGTAAAATAGGAAATAAAAAATAAAATAGTACAACAACATACATATCAACAATACAACTCAAAGAAGATTCTATAGCTCCCTAAATCACAAGAAATAAGAAACAATTTCCACTCATTTTCAAAACTCACCACCATTTCATTCTAGTTGCGAACAATGCCTCCAGCACATAAAAGGCATGAACTCACCAGGGAGAGATAGCCTACTCACCGTGGGATTTTGAATGAAGACCCAGATAAGTCGATATTTTGAATGCTGTTTATAAAAATGGAAATTAAAACTGCAAAATGGTTTTCTTCAAAAGTTATGGGGGCTCGAAATTAGCCTAGCAGTAGTTTCAACTCGATATGCGAACTCGTCGCTTCGATATTAGATAGCTTTATAGGCATAAGGTGCGGTTACCTCCCGCCATCGCCCGCATTTCTGCAAAGTGTTTTTTCATTTCGTTAAAGGCTGTCTAAACCTTTTCTGACATTTGTTTAAGTGAACACCTTATTTCTGCTCTTATTTTCTCTCGCCGCCCCTATCCAATGAAAGTGGCTCTACACGTCAATTGTATGACTCTGTTTTATTCTAAACTTCAAGGAACATTCGACAGAAAGATACTAGTGATGTGTTAGATGCCTGCAAAAAAACTCAACATTGATGGAAAAAGTTGAAAAAATGCCTGGAGCGCACTGATTCTCCACACCCGGTGACGAAACAATTAATCACCTCAAGACATCCTTTGCAGGCATCTTACTCATATTTAGTATCTTTCTGTCGAATGTTCCTTGAAATCTAAAATAAAATAGAGTTATACACTTAACGTGCAGAATCACTTTTTTTGAACACGGGCGACGAGAGAAAATAAAAGCAGAAATAGGGCGTTCACTTGAACAAATGTCAGAAAAGGTTTAGAGGACCTTTAACAAAATGAAAAAACACTCTGCCAATGATGGGGGGAAGCAGACCCGCATCCTCGGCCTATGAAGCGAGACCACTACCGCTAGGCTACGTCAGCGCTTGATATCGAAGCGGCGAGTTCGCATATCGAGTTGATACTAGTGTCAGGTTGATTTCGAGCCCTCATAACTTTTTAAGGAATCATTATACAGTTTCAATTTCCATTCTTGCAGACAGCGTTCAAAACTTCACCGATTTATCTGGGTCTCCACTCAAAGTCCCACGGTAAGTAGACTACCACTCGTTGGTCAGGGACCATTAAACTTTTCGGTCCTCATAGTCGAGTAGGATACAAGAAAATCATAAACAGTCCCAAGAGTTATCAGCTGCATCCATCCCTTCACGTGAATTACGTAGACATTTTTGAAAATCACATTATCGCTTCAAATGCACACACGTTCATGGCATACATTAGTATCCTTTTTCCGGCCCATCACTCTTCTCCACTCTTGGCAGTATCACATTTTCATCCTAGTATGAAAATCGGAATGCACTTAACGCTGGCAGGGGTTTTAAGTGATGATCAAAACACCCGCTTACCTCCAAAAGGAGAAGTCTCATGCACTTTAATACTAGACAGTCACCTATGCACGTTAACAACCACTCAACCCAATGGTTCGAAATTTTTCTCTACAAACGTTTTATCCTGCTATCCGTATAATCTGGGCATTTTATTCTCTTCCTACGAGATAAATGGGATGCTCGAAAAGTTTGATGTTAAGACTCCACTCTTAATCACGGTCGTCTGGCACACAGGTGCGAAACAACTTCAATTAGGCCGTTAGCTGATCGTAATGCGGAAGGCTGGATGATTTGGACGAGTTGGTTGAAACAGAAGTTCCATTACGTGGTTCCTCTCATTCATCTCCGCCTGTACATACTTTTGAAGCTGTGCTGTGCATGCTACGAACAACTACACGTTACACAGCATCGGGGTGACAAGACTTTGCGTGGAGTAAGGTTTATTCGAGCAGTAACTCCGATACCACCTCACACTGTTCTTTCCAGTTGAGATGTTTACCTACGCATTAATAAGGTTAAGCCAGTCTTAGGGTAGAACCTCTCTCTTAAGCTTGCTATACTGAGACTGGGGTTAGGATGATGATGACTACATCAACGCAGGAAACATTTCTTCCTGCGTTGATGTAGTTTTGCAACAGTCATCGAGTATCGACAGTACATAATGGGCATGCGCGCTATGACTGGTCTTTCTACTCTACTCATGAAACGGGGGACGGAACATTCACCCAGAACTGGATGGACGCGGCAAACCGCGCGGCGAAATTCGTGGGGATTCAAACGACTCTGACGCCTATCATTGGGGCATAAATGAAGTGGGAAAAATAAGTAGCATAAGCTGGCCCTACTCCTCCAATCTACTTGGAACCTTTGCCCCAATGATAGGCGCCAAAGCAGTTTTAATAACCACAAATTTCGCCACGCAGTTTCCGCGTCCGTCCAGTTCTGTGTGAATGTACCCATACCCCATAAAACAGACAGCTAAGATCAGTGCTAGCCGCTAACTCATGACAAGTCCTCTGTTTTGCGAGAATTACTGCCCGCTTCACTTGAAAATGCTGCAATTAAGGTGTTCCTTGATCAGAGTCATAATGTGAACCTTATTCAGTCCGAACCTCACAATTTCTGTTAGATGCAAGCCCAGCAAGACATTGTTGTTTACGTTGGTATAAAGCGCAGTTACATCGAGCGACTCTACTATGCACTTTTCTGAAAGCCTACTCGAACGCAGGCGATCGAGAAATTCTTGGTATTCGATGGATGCAAGGGTATGTATCGGAATAGTTGACCAACAATTTTATTGGAGGACCACGAAATGGGGTCCGTTGATCGTCCCACACGGCTGATGATGGGTCTTGTTTTGTGATCTTTAGTGCTAGCTGAGTTCTTGCCTCACTTGGACAACTTGCGAGTCTTGATCAGGTTATGAAAACCGGGCACGAGAGTTCATCCAATTTCAGTCTTCAATCATCCTTCTATCCGATCTTGCTATTATTCCGATTACTCACCCAAAGCATTCAGCTTGTGATATCGGGTCTGCAATCAGATTAGCGCGTTCGCGCACTGGGTCGGGAAACTCACAGATCCAAACTATTGGGCCGTCCGAAAAGTCTCCACAGATTTTTGATTCATCTTTGAATGAAAATTCCTAGAAGAAGAAATCCATTGATTGATATTGATATCCTCCATCTCCTTGTAAGTTTCAGTGTCTCTCTTTCATAAAAGGTTCCAGACTTAAAATCGAAAAATCTCAGGTGCTTTCTGCAGCCCTCCAGCGGACTCAGCGATTTTCCATCCAAAGGATTTTGCAGAATCCTAAACAAGTGGTATCTGATGGTGCTATGTCCGGCCTTTATAGGGGATGTGGCAAGACATCCCACCCAAGTTTTAGCAATTTTTGACGAGTGGCCAAAAACACGTGTCTTCTGGAAGTACCTTGCTGGAAGATTACGCCCTCACAATTGGCCAGTTCGGGTCGCTTCTGGTCTATCGCTGCCTCCGAATTTTCTAGCTAACTATGGTACCTTTCCGAAGTCATCGTTTGAATGGGCGACAACAGCTCATGGTAAGTGATTTCCCTAGAATCCCACCAGCAACCCGGCATAATCTTTCGCACCTAGGTTTTGACTTTTGCAGCGGCTCACTAGGGAGGTTCCACGGTCGTTTCCGCTCACTTTTCCGCTTTCTCGCTTGTCGTTCTCCGTGCTCATGCGTTTCAGCACAGCTCATTTTAATTCTGTTTGAGCAACGAGTCGCATTTGGAGGCGCGGTCCATCACATAGCACTTGCTCATTTCGCGAGATATCTAAACATCAAGGCGCTTTATAAAACCAAGTTTCTGCAGATGATCATGGATGGTTGATTTCGAAACACTAAGCACTTGTCCTACTCCACGAGTAGTGATGTGCCGAATCGCTTTGGGTCACATTTTGATTTGGTTGTTTCAACTGAAGATAGTCTCCCTTAAGGTTACCGGTTTTCGAGGGTAAATTCACTCTGATCGGTTTTCGCAAACTAGTTACGCATTGTACGTTCCTCTAGAGCACGGTCTACTCAAATGTTATATATCTTTCTTGCGGCCTGAGCCGCACTCTAGGCCTTGCGGTAGAAGAGATACTTCAGATGCCGAAAATGCGCGCAGTGGTTCTCCATTGTCACACGAGTCGTGCCGACAAACTTTGACAAATGTTGACAGAATTCCAACGGGAATTCTGTGGAGGACTGACTCTTTCAGAAAACATAAGTTTATGAGGTCGGGTCCTTGATCTTTTGTACAACAGCTGATAAATCCGAGTTGTCGAAAATCGGCGGAGACTTCGGACAACTCAATATATGTTTTCTGAGAGAGTAGGTCTTCTTCTATATTCCTGTTAGGATTCGCAAACATTTTTCAAAATTTTTCTGTACAGGACTCGTGTGAAAATTGAGAGCCATTGCAAGCATTTTCGGCATCTGAAGCTTTTCTTCTACCGCAAAGCCTAGAATGCGTCTCAGGTCGCGAGAAAGACTTGTGACACATGGGTCCGGGAACTTCTCCCCTAACACGGCGTCGCACACGCCGCACCCGCCGCCTATCGCAGGATTGCGATGGAAGATTGGAGCGCGCAATTTGCGAGGTAGGGAGTCCTCTAATCATTTGAATTGGCTGGCCGCTCTTTTCAATTCCAATGCGGTCTTGATCGTCGTTTATATAGGAGGAGTCATTTTAATTAATCAAGTCCAATAAACATGAAAACTAAAAAGAAACAGAATAAAAAACGATAAAATTCAATGAAAAAGCAAGCCAGTCAAGGAAAAATATCGCGTCCTATCGATTGGCGGGAGGCGGGGTGAGTACGGTAATCGCAGTGACATTTGCCGCACGCCGCAAGGGAGAATGCCGCGATAGGGGAGAAGTTCCGTTACCCGTGACACTTGAGTAGACGATGCTCTAGAGGAAAGTATGGTGCGTGATCGGGTTGTAAAATTCAAACAGAGTGAATTCGCCCTCGAAGACCCTCGGAGACCGGCAATCCTCAGAGGGGCTACCATCAGTTAAAACGACCAAATCAAAATGTTAACGGAAGTGAATCGGCACAGCACTTCTTGTAGAGTAGGAAAAAGGCTTTGTGTTTCGAATTCAACCAAGCGTGATCATCTGCTGGACCTTGGTTTTGAAAAGCGCCTTGATATGGGGATACCTCAAGAAATGAGTAAGCGCAATGTGATGAACAGCGCCTCCATGTGCGACTCGTTGCTCAAACGAAATAGAAATGGGCTGTTTTTAGAACGCATGAGTACGGAGGACGAAAAGTGGATCGTGTACAACAATGAGGCGCGAAAGCGATCGTGGAGCCATCTCAATGTGCCGTCACAAACCGCTGCGAGAGTCAAGATCCAGGTGCGGAAAAAAGTTGTACTGCTGATGGTATTGGAGGGAAATCCCTTATCATGAGCTGTTGTCGCATAATCAAACGATAACTTCTGAAACCTAGCTTTTAAATTTGGAGGCAGCGACAAACCATAAGCGACCCGAACTGGCCAGTCGTGAGGGCGTCGTCTTCCAACAGGATACCTCTAGACCACACGTATTTTTGGCCACTCGTCAAAAATTGCTGAAGCTTATGTGGGATGTCTTGTCACACCCCCCATATAGCCCGGACATAGCACCATCGGAGTACCACTTCTTTAGATTTCTGCAGCATTAGTTGGATGGAAAATCGCTCAATCCGCTGGAGGACTGCAGAAAGCACCTAAGGTTTTTCGATTTTAAGTCTGGAACCTTCTATGAAAAGTGGATACTGATACCTACAGGAAGATGGCGAATCCTTACTGAACAGAATGGAGAGGATATAACGTTTAATCAACGGATATCTTCTTCTAGGAATTTTCACTCAAAGATGAATCAAAAATCGGCGGAGACTTCGGACAACCCGATACTTTCAGGTTCTTGGAGCCGAAGAGTTCTTCGAAATTCGACCTAATAAAGTGGTTCCATCACAACATACCTGTACGGCAAAGCAGTTTGAAAAACAATGGCCAGACTTTTCTAAGAAAGTATGTCTCGTGTTCATGGAGCGAGTAGGGTTCACTGGACTACATCGGATTGCGGCAAAGACATGCAGACGTTACTAGCGAGCGGAATCGCTGAACTTATTGATAACGTGGTAGATTTCGTTGGCCACGATTTTGCTTCCAAAAAGCGTTTTTTTTTTCTTTACTTTTATTTATTGCTAACAGCTAACGTTGATCTCCATCGCTTTCGATTTTTCATTTATTTAACTTAATTTTAGTTTTCTTTCATCGGAATTATTTATTACATTTGATGGCCAGTGATCAAATCGATGACAATGGATTAGTTTTTTTTCTGAAAATTTTCTTTAGTGTTCCAAACGAATTAAACTGAGCATGAATCGGCGATATCGACCAACGGCCAACGCCGGCGTCAGTCGGAATGATGGAAGGATAGAACAAGTGAGGTGAAAGATTGAAAATGGATTGCTTGCAACGTCATAACACTAACCGATAAGCTTCTTCGAATTCCACGGCATTAAGTTGTGACGATATAGCACAGGAATTGTCTTGGGAGACAAAGTTATGTGAATTCACGAGACGATGAAGCAGAAGCTGAAATTCAAATAGCGAAATAAGTAATGAAATGAAATATGCATCGTATTAGAAGCTCTTTAGTAATCATCTCCGAAGGTATCACGGCACGCGAACAGAGATGAGAAATCAGCTCATACAAATGAAAACGAAGTAGGAACGGCTAAGAGGCAACTTGAACTGTAAGCATTGACATCGCTCCCTGAAGGACTATATCTCACCTGATGTTGTTTGTTATTCCAAGACAGCAACCCCAACTCGAGAAGCTTCTTAGCAGCCTCATTGTTGAGTTCCCGCAATGAGCATACCTAGAATAAATCCTGCCTCCTCTGCTAACAATATTGACAACCTCTGGATCTTTACACTTTCGTATAACAAAAACTATTGCTGTTTATTTTCCAACATATAGCATTACCATTATTGACAGAAGCATGAGAATCTTTACAAAGAACTCACCTCGCTGTTGATCAATAAACGTTCAACCCTTAAACGCTCACAAAGAGATCTTATACCATCCACAGACGAAGGTACATCCATTCTACACTGTAAGCCTGCGACACAGTTCAAGCGCGACTCAAAAACATTTTCGTAATCCTAAATACGTCCCCTGTAATACCACTGCTTCTTTTGATTCATTTCAGTAAACACCGGCCGATGACCGCGTATACCAAAAAAAAAGACGTCGAAAAAACATGTTTTATTACATAACTTCATCGGAGCCTAAAATTAAATAACGTAGAACTAGAATGAAATCTCGAGATGAGCAGCAAAGAAAGAGTAAAAATTTCTTCAGTCGAAAATCTTGATTCGTGCCGTTATGCAACCCATATTCCCAACCAAAGGTTCCGTCAATCGTCCTTCGTAGCAAACACGTCGATCGGTGAGTATAAAGCCTCGGCGTGAACTGCAAGAGGCTGTTTTAATAGAATATCTCGTGAGGATCGGTGTTGTTGAATAGCGAGATATAAGTTGATAAAGCAAAATGTGGTATCACAAGCAGTCTTTGACTTCACATCCGAAAATTGCAAAAAATAAGGGGTAAAGTGGCCTAGTTATTTGTGCCTACCTACACATCTTTTCTACCACATGAATTTGTGCTCACGGACATGATAGCGGAATGAGTGAAGGAGTAAAAAGTAGTGCGTATCAGAAAAAACGTCAAAAAAACAGAGAAACCTCTACGCTTCTCTTTGAATCTTTTTGGGTTTTGCAAATGGCGCTAAATAAATTAACACGTTGGGTACCGGCGCTCTCTCCGATATTCCCACGCGCGTGTCCAAGCGATTTTTTTTCGGCTCGCGGCGTGCATCACCTTGTGATGCACTTGGCCACACGGAACAGGTTTTTTCTAACACTGTGAATTCTCTACTATTGGAATCCGATTTTTTTATAATGTTTTCGCATATGAAGAACAACATACCAGTCTAACACTCTGTGATATAAGAGATATATAGTAAGGATTTTGTTGGTCAACTGTCTTTGCCAAATCTAAATCTAATAAAATCTACTTAGTGCTAAGTCTTGCGATAACAATTCCAACCAACCGAAGTTTCTTGACTTCAAAGCGTTCCGACCAGATGAAAGGTGTGCTTCTTTCACACATCGACTTTGTGTACCCTCGTCTTATTCCAGGAGCGCAACTTTAAGTCTAGTGAAGTTCTGTTATCGGTTCTGGTACTATACCAGATGGAAGCTTTGGAGAACTCATTCGTGCAACTGCTTATTGATAGCGGTGAAGAAGCAGACAGTGAAGATATTTCGGAAGCTCCTGATGGTTGCTCGCTGATGCCGTTAAATCAAGTGATGAAGATAGTGAAAGGGAGTCTCACGCCGGTTGGTCCTCGACTATAGTTCAACCAAGTGTAGCACCTTCACCGAGAATAGTGTAATCCAAAATGACGATGTCTATGCATTCAGCAATCCAATCAGTTTCTACAAGTTATTAATGACAGATGAATTGGTGAAACTGGTGATTGAAGAATCGAACTGTTATGGATCCGCCAAGTATTCGACATGGTCTGTGCACAAAGAGCAGGAGTTCAACAATTTCTCAATTTCATAACTGCACCTTTACGATCTCTAGTTCAATTGCCAGAATTGTTATCGGAGCGTTTGCGAGGATATTGAGTTCAAGTCCTTTGGGATATCTGGAACATGATCAAATTCTAGGTTAACAGTGGTAGATATTCACAATGCACCCGTGGTACACATATCGAAATTCCGCAAGAATGGATTCAGTAGGAAAAGAGTTACGAATGAAAAGTATTGGGTTGTAACATAAGTTCGTAGAGATTTGCGTTAGTTATTTCACAAGGAATTGACTTGTTTTTTTGCAAGGTGTTTACACTCATTCGAAAGAGCTTTTCCTCCTCTACAAAACTGTCTCATTTGTTCTTTTGGATAATTTGATCGTTCGACTTTCTTCTGGCTGAGAAATGGAATATCCAGGAGGAAAAAATCAGCACTTTCGACATCTGCTTTTCTTTGCTTTCCACCGAGGCCAAAAAGCAGCTGAAGCCGCTCGGGACATATGCAGCGTGTACGGGGAAGGTGTCTTGAGTGTGTCTACAGCACAAAAATGGTTCGCAAGTTTAAAAGTGGCGACTTTGACCTTGAAGACACGCCTCGAAGCGGACGACCTGCAGAATTCGACGAAGAGCATCTGAAGGCACTATTGAGGGAAGATGATCGTCAAACAACTCGTGAATTGGCCGAAAAAATGAACGTCAGTGCAATGACAATCTCTCGCCACCTTCAATCAGTTGGTTTTACTCCAAAACTTGGAGCATGGGTGCCTCACGAGCTCAACGAAGAAAACAAAGAGAGACGCCTTCAAATTGCTGCTCAACATCTCGCCCGCCACCGAGCAACACGTGGACACAATCAGCTATTTTTGTACCGAATCATCACGGGAGATGAGAAGTGGTGCCTGTACGTCAATGTGAAGCAAAAAAAGCAGTGGGTGGCTCCAGGAGAGGCGCCAAAGCCGAGAGTCAAGCAAGACCCCCACCCAAAAAGGTCATGATCTGCGTTTGGTGGGACTGGGAAGGCATGGTGTACTGGGAAATGCTGGAACGAAACGCTAGTGTCAACAAGGAGCTCTACATTGCCCAACTGCACCGTGTAAATGAGGCTATTCGGCTGAAAAGACCCGATAGGCAAGGTCAAGCCATCTTGCTCCACGACAACGCCAGGCCTCACACTGCTCAAGTCGTCAAAACTGCAGTCCAAGAGCTTGAATGGGAGGTCGTTCAGCATCCATCGTATTCTCCAGATCTTGCACCTACCGACTACCACCTTTTCCGCTCCCTGTCAAACCACATGAGAGGTGTTACCTTCGATGGCGAAGGACTCTCAAGAACTGGCTCAACAACTTCTTCGACACCAGACCGGCCAATTTTTGGCGAAATGGTATCAACAAATTGGTCGAGAGATGGGAGAAGGTCGTCAGCAGTAACGGAGGATACATCATTGATTGATTTGTTATTATAATTGTTGTTTTTTGTTCAAATAAATCTATGTGAAAAAAACTCTACGAACTTATGTTACAACCCAATGCAACCGAAGAAGCATTTGACCGAAGACTTTTGAGTGCTACTGAATATCTCAGTTCAAGTTAAGTTTGTGGTTTAACCTCGTTCACTAGATGGGGAAATCACAAACTTCACCTTTGTTATACTTCTTTATAGAGTCGCTTTACGGAAACCCGATGTCACAAGCTGAATGCTTTGTGGGTAGTAATTGGAACGATAGCAAGATTGGATAGAAGATTGTTTGGAGACTGAAGTTGGATGAACCCTCGTGCCCGGTTTCTATAACCTGATCAAGATTCACGAGTTGTCCAAGTGAAGCAGAACTCTAGGGCTACAGATTACAAAATAAGACCCATGATCAGCTGTGTGGGACAATCAACGGACCGCATTTCGTGGTTCTCCAGTAAAATTGTTGGTCTATCAGCCCGGTACGTATCCTTACATCTATCGAACACCAACGAATTTCTTGCCCCTGTGTTCGAAAAGGCTTCAAGAAAACTGCATAGTAGAGTCGCTTGACGTAACTGCGCTTTTTACGAACGTATACAAAAATGATGCTTTCCAAAAGGTTTCCTGCTTTGCTGTAGGTGCATCAAACAGAAATAGTGAGGTTCGGACTGAGCGAAATCGCATTATGACTCAGATCCACGAATGTCTTAATTGCAACATTTTCGAGTGAAGCGGGCAATACTTCTCGCACAATCGAGGACTTGCTACCAGCCAGCGGCTAACGCAGGTCTTATCTATATTCTTCATGAGCAGAGTAGAAAGACCAGTCATAGAGTGCATGCCCATCATGTACTATCGATACTCGACGACTGTTGCATAGCTACATCAACGCAGCAAGATGGATGAATTGTTTGATATCTTCAACCGACAGTCTCAGTATATCAAGTTCACGAGAGAGGTTCTGCTCGAAGATTGGCTTCCTTGTCTTAACACGCATATAAACATCTCACGTGAAGGTGGACTGGTGAGACGGGAAGGATGCGGGGCATACACGTCAAAGAATATCTAGAAGGTAAAGGCGAGGAAGCCTACTCACGGAACATGGGAGGCAGGCAGAAAGAATGTTTGAAAAGTTTGAAAGCTTTTCGACGAAAGTCTCATGCTCTTTGGGTGAGGAGGGCTCACTGAAGTACACCGATTTGCGGCAGGGACATGCGAACGTTACTAGCGATCGGAAGTCGATGATCTTATCGATAACGTAGTAGTTTTCAATGGTCACGACTTTGCTTCCATGAATTGTTTTTTGCTCTTTCAATTCAAGGTAAATAACTAATGATTTTTCAATCGCATTTGATTTTTCATTTATTTTACTTAGTTTTACCTTTCATTCACTTGAATTACTGACTTCACTTGAATGATCAGTGGTCAAACGGGTCCGGGAACTTCTCCCCTAACACGGCGTCGCACACGCCGCACCCGCCGCCTATCGCAGGACTGCGATGGAAGACTGGAGCGCGCAATTTGTGAGGTAGGGAGTCCTTTAATTATTTAAATTGGCTGGCCGCTCTTTTCAATTCCGATGCGGTATTGATCGTCGTTTATATAGGAAGAGTCATTTTAATTAATCAGGTCTAATAAACATGAAAACTAAAAAGAAACAGAAGAAAAAACGATAAAATCCAATAGAAAAGCAAGGCAGTCAGCACGGAAAAAAATCGCGTCCTATCGATTGGCGGGAGTACGGTAATTGCAGTGGCATTTGCCGCATGCCGCAAGGGAGAATGCCGCGATAGGGGAGAAGTTCCGTTACCCGTGGTCAAACCGATGACAATGGGTCTTTTTTGAAGATTCCCCTCAGTGTTTCAAACGATTTAAAATTAGCACCAATCTGTCTTCGGGATATTGACCGATGGTCGATGCTTGCGTCAGCGTCGGAATGATAGAAGCATCGACATCGCCTCCTGGCGCACTATGTCTCACCTGATGTTGTATTCCGAGACAGCAACCCCAATTTGCAGCAACCTGATTGTTAAGTTCCCGCGATGAGCATACCTGGAATGAATCCTGTCTCCTCTCCTAACAATATTGACAACCTCTGGATCTTTACACTTTCGTATAACAAAAACTATTGTTGTTTATTTTCCATATATCATCAACATATATCATTATCATTATTGACATGAACATGAGAGTCTGAACAAAGAACCCACCTCGCTCTTGATCAATAAACGTTCAACCGTTAAACGCTCACAAAGAGATCTTATACCATCCACAGACGAAAGTATTATACATTCTTTCTTCCCGTAAGCCTGCAACACAGTTCAAGCGCGACCCAAAAACATCTTCATAATCCTGAATACGTTCCCTGTAATATTACTACTGTTTTTGATTCATTCCAATAAACAATGGCCAATGACCGCGTATACCAACACAGAGAAGACCTCAAAATAATGTCTTATTTAATTACTCTATAAATACATTGAAATAAGGCTTAAGGGAAGGAGTCATATTATTGGGACTTTCACTACGACAAACGATAAATACGGTCAAATAAGGCAACAGGGAAGGAGGTAATATTAATGGGGCTCACAAATTTAGATGAAAATCGAGACTACGCCTGCTTCTGAACCCGAACGAAGCGCTCGAGGTAGACTCTGAGGCTGAAATTAAATAAATTAAAACTAGAAGCAAGTTCTGGAGACGACCAGTAAAAAAAGAGTAAAACTTGCCCGTTTCAAAGAGGTTTTGATCTCGAGTGATGCAACATAACGGAGAAACAAGAGGCTCAGTCCAGTGATCATTGTACCATACTCGACGAGTCGTATGAGTACACCTCCTTGGAGGTGTACCCAAACGACTCGTCGAGTCTGGCACAATGATCCCCTCCGTACGACTTCTCGAGCGAAGACTACGCAACTGCAAGAGGCTGTTTTAAAATAACATCTCATGAGGATCGGTGTGGTTGAATAGCGAGATACAAGTTGATGAAAGCAATATTTGATATCATAAACAGCGTTCGACTTCATATCCCAAAAAAACTGCAAAGAAAAACAAGTGCTGCCCTCTCCAAACTTAAGGCGTAAAGTGATCTAGTTATTTGTAAATGCCTACACACCACATGGCTTTGTCATCACGGGTATGGTAGTGAAATGAGCAAAGATTACAAAATAGTGCGTTTCAAGAAAAAACGTCAAAAAGAACCCGAGAAATCTTTACGCTTCTCTTTGAATGTTTTTGAATTTTCTAAATGGCGCCAAGTCCACTTGTAAACGTGTATGGAAATGAATTGATTAGGCATAGGTAGAGCGCATGAATGAATTCTATTCCTACCTGAGTGACCTCTTCGCTGGTTGATGTCTGTTGTGTTACCGAAAATTCGGGAGTATTCTAAATATAACAAAGTTAAGCTCCACAAAATATACCGCAATTCCACCTACCAGTCAGAACGGGAAGCAATAAGTATTGTTCAACTGCCTAATATCAAATCAATAAGGTAGGATTACCTAATCAAGCACGACTGAGAGAACAGTAAAAAAAGAGAAAAGAATGAAAAAATCATACGAACATCAAGGCAGCCGTCAGCAGGGAAGGAATCCTCATAATTTAGAAGGTGCATACAGGTCTAGTCTTGCAAATACCGCTTATCAGGGTAGGATCTCAACTCGAGGTGGCCATTTGAATAAGACGTCTACTGCTAGACGTGTTCATTGGATGCTGATTTCAAACCTGCTTTTCATATTCGCCACGATTCTCTGAAAGAAAATGTGAGGGTAGTTCCAAGTGAGACGTAACATAGGAGACTCAAATTACATGGATGTACCAGTTTTCGCATTACAGTTTCCGCATTAGGAGCTTCTCCTTGAAGCCTAGAAACTAGTTTCATGGAGAGTTTATCATTTTCTATGAATTTATAATGCTTTTGCTGATACCCATTCTTCCTGCCGTCTTTTCATTATTAAGGACAAAGTTTTTCAGGTTTATCATTTATCATATCCCGTCTAAGGGATGCTACCTGCTTTCGACTTCCATTTAGAATCGTAGTGGCGTGGTGAATGCGTGGGTGGCCTATACTTTTGCTTAGTGCTATTAATCAATTTTTACGAATGATAAAGTTGTTCTACACTTTGGCAAACGCGTGGCAAACGTGGCAAAAGTGTAGAACAGATCTACCGCTGATACGCTGTCATACGAGCGTATGTTCTGTCCTTAGTTGGTAGTATCGCACTTATTGAAGAACTTCGGTTCTTGTAATATAGAACGCTCCCCAAATAGGAAAGAGCAAAAATTGATAGACAACTTCTCCGCAACCTTACCGGATGACGTCTACGACGACCTCAACCACATTTGTTTAAAGCGTCACCCTAAACACTGTTCTAAGCCACCTGAAGAGCGGTACATCCAAGTATATCCATCCAAGTCTTATGTTACACTGCACCTGAAGCCACCCTCATAATTCCGATCAGAGAATCATTCGGTAAGTTTGGAAAGCATATTTGAAACTAGCATTCGGAACCAGAAACACGCCTTGCAATATATGCCTCATTCTAAATGGCTAATTGAACTTAGGATCCTTTCCCTGAATGTTCACTAATGAAAGTCCACGGAAATGTAATAAATCGATTAGACATAGGTAGAATGCATGGATGAATTCTGTATCCCACCTGAACACGCTGATATGGATTTTTGACACTGCTCAGAATGCTGTCTCGACGAGAGGCCTAAATGGAGTAGATTTTGAAATTCACAGAACTTACCATAGTTTTGGCTACCATTCAGAACAGTAAATCAATATCGTACGGTTATCAAGAATTACTCAACCAGGCCTGAGGTAAGCTGCTTAATGGCTAACCGATATCGTAGAAGGGAAGCAATATAGAAAAGAGAGAAAACAGGTAATGCGTAGTGGAAAGAAATATCACCGTCTACCTCAATAAGAGCCAGATTATTCGCTGTGAAAATGGGAATCGCTTCCATGTCCTGCCTCTGTCTGCGAGAGGAGAGAAATAAGTGCAGGTAGGAAATACAAATCATAGGAGTAGCGGAAGAAAAGGTGCTTAAAAGCGGAGCAAAACGAAAACTTTCAGAAAAAGATAGCGAACAAAGTTAAGGACAGAATATTAACCGTAAACACGGCAGAGAAACTCGAGGTACGACTACCCGAGTTAGTCACAATCGGTGCGCCGTAAGAAAACAGGGAAGGTGCAATTTTTTATAGTAATCTACTAATGACTGGGAACAGAAACTGAAAGAGATAAGTCATTCAAAAGGTATCCTTGAAATCATATGAGTGCAAAGAAGGAACGAAAACAAGAAATCAGGAAACAAAAATAAAAAGGTTGTATGCTTCGACCTAAACGGAGAAATTGATCGAAAACGCCTATAAAGTCTTACGTTGACTTTAAGGACCGGTGTCTCCAATGGGCGAAACCGTTTTCCCGATCTTGTGGTCCCAAACTGAAAATTTTGGCAGAAACTGAGAGATTGAAATGACTGTAGTCATATTCTACAAATATTCATGTATGAATGAATAAAATTGAACTCACTTCATAACCGAGTTCGGGGGGAAGGGGAGAGACTTCGCGGGTTTTCCTTCGGACTATAAACATCCAGTACAATAAACAAAAAAAGTTGCTTAGAAAAAAAACAACAAGCACATCAAACAACTGTGTTTGTTGTTTCATGCTTAGAAGAACTTTGCTGTTTTTATTTTAAAAAAAGGAAAGAACAACGTTGGACGACGGTTAGGACTTTCGAAATTTGTACTATTTGCAACTAATATTATTTTGAAATGCAGTCATTTAAGAATAGAGTGAGAAAAACACCAGAGGAATCGGGAAGTTAGGGTTGCAAAATCAACAAATTAACACCTGATTCTAGCCTATCTTCCTTCGATGAGTCAATAGAAATGTACCATGTACTTAGCCACTAGATATTCTACACTAGATTGAGTTGTACCGTTATTTTACCCAATTTAAATTTTCTGCTGGAATTCGATGATTCTTGATTGTGTGGTGAGTTCGAACAGCTCACTCGCTGAGGTTTTCCAAATATCACTAACGTTGAGAATATGAAGGAAAAATATTGTATCAGTAATTCAATTTTTTTCAGATGAAAAGAATTCTGAGAATACGAGGAGCCACCGTTAAAAACCGCAATGGGCGGATGTTAGCACTGAAAGTGTTTGTTAAAAGACGGTTCGGCATTTCCGAGGAATAAATTTTTCAAAGGTTGTGTTTGAAGAGTTCATCATCTGGTGTTTTTCTTATAGCGAACAGAAGAGCATGAACTGTGTGTCAGGAAAGCTTCTCCCTATTTCCACAGCCAAAATTCTACGAAGTTTGCGGAAATGTAGAAGTCAACCACATAGTTTCAATAATGGACTACTTGCCACTCCACACTGTTCATGACCCCATTCAAGAACACAAAAGAGAAACTTTTTATAAATAATAATGACATTACTCATCGTGAATCAAAGAGCGGGCACCGAAACCTTACCTGCACTAAGCGACCTCCCACTTTAAACCTCGAAAACGTGGTTTAGACTAGCATTTGTAACTTAGTAACTTAACGAACACTCATTAAGCGTACAAACCCTGTGAATCATTCCCAATTAACCTGCAATCAAAATATGGTGGTTACCTAGAGAAGTAAACAATCATACAGATGGACAACAAAAAGGAAAAGGCCCATCCGGCGACTTCTCCAGTTTCCATTTTTTTAAATATCACGAACGACAAAATAGCAGTTTCGCTGTAAGTCCAATAGAAGACGTACCGCGTCGAAATCGCGGAGAAGTCGTTCTACTCGCTCTACTGGTCAGCATTTTCTCACAGTAACAGATAAAAGGAAAATATCTGAAATGATATGTTGAAAGTTAAATACGATAGAAGACAGGTGCTGCTCATTTCACACTCCTTAATTTCGATTTTCAAAAAAAAAAAAACATGTAAAACATACAATAACACAATCCGGCTGCTTATATTCACACATACCTCTTAACTTATAATGAGTCTCGAGTCCTACTCTTCCGTTAAGGAATAATTCAGGAAGAAAAGAAGAAGATCAATCAAGTGATTAGACAAACAAACCTGCCTCTATCGCATATGTACTAGCGATGCTATAGGATTAGGACTATAGGACACCTTTCGTAACATCTTTCAAATAATGATATCGTAAACTATGAACCGGGTTTGACAGAGAATACAAAGGTCGAAGAAAATACAGTGAAATAGGAAATAGAAATAGTACTTCAGAGAATACCATGGCGAATAAATAAGTAATAGAAGAGAGGCGTGCATGGAATATTGACAGCAATGCTTCCATCTCCTATAACAAAAACATTATTCACGCCAGTTACCTTCAATTGAAGGTACCAAAAAGCGAAAACGAAATAGAACAGTGAAAAGATTTTCAAGAAAAAGAATGGAAAAGAAGAAGAATGATAAGTAACAGCAGAAAGAAACTGAAAGTACTTTGAAAATGGAGCTACGTCACAAATGCTAAAAGAGCTGCGGCTGCGGCGCAAATTAAAGTTGGAGCGCGACAGCTGGAAAGGTTAACATACTAAGCTGAATAAATCTTTGAATAAGAACTAATTAACCGAAGTCGGTGCTAAGTGGGTTGGTGGGGGCCACGCGGCGGCGCGGCGCCTTTTCATGTGCCCGGCGAGATAGTAGTACTGAGCCCAAGTCTGGGGAGGGATGGTTAGGTTGTACTGAAGTGTTTCGTGATTCGAAACAAATTACCTCTTGGCACATGTTATATGCTTGCATATTATGGATCTCTTCTTCTGAGCCGATAAAACCCTATTTTTCTCAAGAAGGGGAGGAGCTCCGGGGTGGGTGAGATGGTTAAATCATGGAAAAAGCCGAGATGGGTAAAAGCAGGACGTCCAATTGGCTTACCCACCCCGGAGCCCCTCCCCTCCCTAAAATTAGGTGAAAAATACGTAATTATAACATAAAAGAGCTATGAAACGCCCTTAAACACCATTACGGGCTCACCTACCCTTCCTTGTTTACTATCTCGCCGGAGAGGGCACAGACATGAAAAGGCGCCGCACAGCCGCGTGCCCCCTCCCAACCCATTTAGCACACCGAAGTCAAAGGTTTGCTTCTACCTCTTCGATACGTTCATACCTCTTTATGCTTCCTCAATCAAGTAAGGATGTTAATCATTATCATTCCGCTTAAAGGCTTAGTTCACGATAAAGAAGGTTACTGAGTTCTTCCTTTGGGAATACTCAGCACTCCCCATGGGTGGTGAAAGGGACCCTCTCACTCCCCCAAACTCGACGTCCAGGGCATAGTGGCAGCCCCGTTGTTGCCGTAGTTCGCCTTCCCGCCCCTCGATCGGTGTCACGTTAGACGAGTGTCGAGACAATACAGATTGCTATTATTCGTTTTAAGCCCACACACAATCAGCTAATCGCCGAGTGATGAGGCGATGTTTTTCTCACATTCCTTTTTCCTCTGTTTTCCCTTTTGCTGCCGCGATCCCTTATTCAATTTCCTACTCCTAGAGGCTGAGAAATGTGAGCTACTTTTTCCATTACTAGGGTTTTTTTTTTGTTTATTGATGCTTATAAGTGAATAAATTTTTGCTTACCACTTTCTGTTATTCGGACCAGGACCCACACGCGCTCAGTGAAACACACTGTTTAGCTCGTCCGGACGCCCCACTCTTCTTCATTTTTCTAGTTTCATTCTCGTCCAGTCCCCTTTTTAACGGTTTTTCGAAGCATTTTTCACTTCGGAAACA